GTACAGTGCCACGTCAGCAGTGCCACGTAACAGTGCCAGATCAGCAGTGCCACGTCACAGTGCCACGTCAGCAGTGCCACCTCACAGTGCCAGATCAGCAGTGCCACGTCACAGTGCCAGATCAGCAGTGCCATGTCAGCAGTGCCAGGTCACAGTGCCACGTCAGACATAGTGCCACGTCAGCAGTGACGTTAGACACAGTACCACGTCAGACACAGGGCCATGTCAGCAGTGCCACATCAGCAGTACCACGTAAGTAGCAGTGCCACGTCAGCAACATGACGGGCCTGCCAGGCCAACTGCCCAATGAGTCCCTTGCAGCCTACAAGCAGCGGTTCCAGGCTCAGATAGAGGCTGAGGAACAACGCCAGCTGGCAGCCGAGGCTGCCCGCGTACAGGCTGAAGAGGCAGCAGCAGCAGAGCAACTGCAGCTACAGGCCGATGCAGACGCAGATGCCCAGGCTCGCCGCAAGGAAGCCCAGGATCTGCTGCAGTGGCATGAAGCCAAGAGCATTGACAGACTCAAGTTCTGGCACTTTAAACCGAACGGCGACGAGGCAACACCGGAAGAGAAGCACAAGGAGTTCCTGTCCAAACTCGTGACAAGGTTGTTGTACGCTTGCAACTACCAACGGTCAGAGTTGGAGAGACAGTACCAGGACCTGACGCAACAGCATCAGGAGTTGGCAAAGCTCCGCCGCATAGTGCAGAGCCACGAGGATGGAACTCGGGCACTCAATGCCCGATTGTTGGACCTGGAACAGACTGTACCAGGACCAGCCCAGCTGCTGGGGCGTCCAACAGTGCACCCTCTAGCCGCCAACTGGAGGACCGCGTTGAGCTCGTAGTGGCAATGCTCGGCGACATCAGCACCTTCGCTGCGCCGACCACCACCATCAGCAGTCAGTTGCATACATTGAAGACCGAGGTCCAGCAGCTGCAGACGACGAACGCGGATGGCAATCCGAAGATGTATAAGATGCCAACTTTCAATCTGGAGAGGTTCGACGACTACACACAGCAGGATCCGGTCCTCTGGTGGGAAGCATTCACAACGCAACTCAGGATTCTGCCCGTAGCCAAGCATGCGTACATCGGCGCCCTGTTCCTGAACTCAAAGGGCAGATGCCAGACCTGGTTGAGCCACTTGGCAACCTCCCACGGCGTCGACGTACCAGACTTGAAGGACAAGATCACATGGGAGGAACTGACACGGCTGTGGAAGAAGCGGTTCATCGTCGACGGCGCGCCGACACTTGCCATCAACCGTCTGTTCACCATGTCACAGGGCAACACTGCAACACGGGACTGGCTCACGGAGTGGCAGAAGATTGCGGCAGTGCCCAATCAAGAGCTGCCTTTCACTCATCTCAGACGTGAGTTCTACAACAGGTCCTGTGCTGCATTGAGCCAGGCTCTTGATGATCGCGAGCAGTACTCCACTTTCGCCGAGATTATCGACAAGGCGAGAGAGATCATCAAGACCAGCAGGTCAGCTGCACACGAGAGATCAACATGGCAGCCGACCTATGTGGAGAAGGTACGAACTGGTCCGCGACAGCAGCACTTCGCTGCAGTCCAGCAGGACAGTGGAGATAACCCAGCAGCCACTCCAGCATCAAGTGACGGAGATCAGGTGGCTGTTGTCCAGCCGCGGAGCAACAACAAGTCCCGCAACAATGGGAAGGCGAAATCCGCATCGCAGGCCGGAAATGGACAGCCAGTACAAGTTCCATGGGTCAAGTTTGGCTTGACCGAGGCGGAGTACAAGGTCCGCGGCCGCTACGGTAGCTGCTACTGGTGCAACAGCACCAAGCACAAGACCTCCCTGTGCCAGGATCAGGGCAAGGAGGATGTGCGGCCCCGCCCCAGCTCGAGAAACTGAGCTCAGCGGAAGGTGAGGCGACTCCACCTTCTACTCCACCAGATTCGGCCGCCTTGCTAGCGGCCTCCTGCACATCTGGGGAGGATGCGAATGTCGCAGGTTCTCATTACACTTACGAGGACTATACTGTCCACTTGGTTCCACCGCTGGACAAACCGCTCCACGTGCAACTATCTACCGCATGCACGGTTTCATCACCATCGGCAACCGATTCGGCAGCTTCGCCGCCATCTATCGTCGGGGATTCATCGTCATGGTCAAGACTTGAGGTGCTCGACCCACTGACGTTCATAGACTTCCAGTGGATGCCTGTTCCCCCGATCGGACGATTGCCGAAACCGCATTGCAACGTGCTCATGGCACAACTGCGAGATTACTTGCACACTGCAGTACCAGCTCCGTTGATGGACGCCGGAGTAGAGGTTGTCGACCTTCACGTCTACATTGCGAAGATCGACCGCGAGTTCAAGACGCAACGGTACGACGACATCGACGCACCATTGCTATATGTACGCATTCAGATCGGGGAAGCGACCTGCAGCGCTTTGATCGATTGTGGAGCAACTACATCAGCCAGGACTTCATGGTGCGCGCCGGCCTTGGCCCACGCGTCCGGAGGAAGCCCAAGCCTACGCAAGTCACACTGGCGGGCGGTCACACGCACAAGTCAATCGACCGGTGCATTGACAGCGTCCCAATGTACTTTGCCCCTTACGCAAGTGAGGCGGTGTCCTTTGACATTCTGGACACCAAATTCGACATGACCTTGGGCATGTCATGGCTGCGAAGCAAGGATCACCCAGTGAACTTCTTCAACCGCACTGTTCACGTTCGTGACTGGAACAGAGTATTAGTTCCATGCACGGTGCCTCTTCCTCATCCTTCGATTAGCTGCCACGTGGTATCCGCCGCAAGCATGCGAGCTTCCATCATCAGAGACGACATCGAGGAGATGGGGGTGTGTTTTCTCCACGCCCTCCCGCCCCATGACGCTTCATCGACGGGCTCACCTTCGGATCCACGCATCACCGAGCTTCTCGACGCCTATAGCGAAGTGTTCGAAGGCCCGCACGAAGTAGTACCGGATCGACCCATCCGCCACGAGATCATCCTCGAGGACGGGGCCGTACCTCCACGCGGTTGCATCTACCGAATGAGCGAGGAAGAGTTAAGTGTGCTTCGGGCACAACTCGACGACCTTCTGGAGAAAGGCTGGATTCGGCCTAGCTCATCGCCATACGGTGCTCCTGTTCTCTTCGTCCGGAAGAAGAACAAGGACCTGTGGTTGTGCATCGATTATCGCAAGCTCAACACGCAGACGATCAGGAACGCCGGCCCTTTCCCACGCATCGATGATCTTCTCGAGCGATTGGGCGGCGCCCAGTTTTTCTCTAAGCTGCATCTCAAGTCAGGGTACCACCAACTCGAGATTCGCAAGGAGGATCGCTACAAGACCGCGTTCAAGACACGGTATGGGCATTTCGAATGGCTGGTTATGCCATTTGGCCTTACGAATGCCCCAGCCACTTTTCAAGCGGCTATGACAACGGAGTTCCGACACATGCTGGATCGATACGTACTTATCTATCTCGACGACATCTTGGTGTACAGCCGGAGTTTGGAGGAGCGTGTGGAACACCT